AGAGTAAAAATAATGCGGTTGCTTAGTATTACCTGATTATTATAATTTTACATAGAATCTTATAGTGTGTGTAATAATATGGCCGGGGACTGTCTTACTTCCAGTAAAAATAGTGATTTAACTTAGCTGAAGAAATCTGATACAATTGTTTGTGTTTTTGTGGTATAGAATACACACTAGAGAATTGTTGAGAATTAACAATGATTTTAGAAACTGAGAAATAATCAAAAAGAGAAATGTATATTTTGTTTGCTCGAAAAAAGGTCATAGAGCTAACAAATGCAAGTCGAAACATGTAAGATGTGTAATTTGTAATAATAGACATTTAGCTNTATGCTATGTCTTTGTGCTAGAACATTGCGTTCATTGGCGAGCGAGCGCAGCGAGCCATGGTTCACGGCGTGAGCCACATAGGATTGCGTAGCAATTCTCGGGGGTTGGCGAGCGTTAGCGAGCAGGGGGTGGAGCCTCCTAGTTAGGATTTAATATTGAACCAGAAGGGAACAAAAAAGTTACCTTAGGTGTTACTCAACTATCATGTATTTGTTAATGTGCGCGAGCAGGTGTGCGAGAGTTAGAGACATTTACTTTTCTGTTAGGAATTACGTTAGGAAAGATTTAAAGCACTAATCCATATTATCGTCTGAATTTCTATAATCTTGACATGGTGCCAAGTTGAATCTTATTGTCCTTCAAATTAAGTCTGATTGAACTTGATTGAACTACAATATTGCTCAACTTGAACGAAATTATCATCCAGCTTATCACGTTTTCAAGGTTGATGCAAGTTTGCTCGATAATTGCGTAAATATTAACAATATTAGGATTTAAGAACACAAACAACTGCTCACACAACAACTGCTAAGAACACAAACAGCAGAACACAAACAACTGCTCACTCAAATTCAAAACATTGAATGAACAAGAATTTCTACTTCTCGGACGAACGATATCGGACAGGTGAAAAAACAATTGCTTGAACCATCCGGCAACGACATTGTCGTTCACACATTTGTCGTCCGATTTTTCGGTATCGTGTCGTGTAATGAAAAAGCGCCCTTAAGACACGGTTCCCTGCAGATCACCGAAGTCAAGCAACACTGGCTGCGGTCAGTGTGCGGGTGGGTGTCCACTTTGATCAGTCTGAGTAGAGACCGAGAGTACAAGGATCGGTCCTCGTTGAGCTGTTCTACTGTAAAGTGCTCGACTTCGCGCGCAGGTCGTCGGGATACCTAAGTGGGGGTGCCATCACCCCTGCATAGGATCAAAATTGCGATGGCATGTCTTCGGATCATCCTCAGAGATGTTTCCAAAGCCGTTGCCATTAGCCCATTGTGCAGCTCTAGTAAGACGTAAATGAACTTCAAGAACAACAATCATTCGTTTCTGAATTATAAATTTAAAATAAAAATTTTGGTGTGCATTAAGGGTTGTCTCAATTTTAAAGGCGGAGATGTTTCTCCTCTTACACCACAGCTGAAATAAACTCTGCTGTCGAGGAAACGGAGTCAAGTGCCAACCTGGTGAGAACTATAAGTAACTATAAGCGGTGAAAAAGCTATAAGTAACCTTTGATTTTTTTCTTTTTTAGAGCCAGCCATTTTTGACTAGCTGGTGAACGAAATCGCTTCCTGGATGTGAAGCTCAAATAATGTTAACATTAGACTTAAGGTCTGGTTTCTTAGGACAAGCGCCTTATCTGAGCGTCAGCGGGACGTCAACGTCCCGCTTACGCCAACAAAATACTGGTTTGTTAGCTCAAGGCCTGGTTTCTTAGAACTAGCGCCTTATCTGGGAGTCAGCGGAAAGTTGACGAAGAGCTGACGCCTAAAAAATACTTTTTTGTTAGCTCAGCGTGAGCAGTCGGTTCAACGCAGACATTATCTCTCATTGCGCATGCGTTAATAACGTAAACAAATATTTATTTTGAATTTGTATTGATTTTGTTATTGCCGACCAGTATTTTAGAGAACAAATAATGACTTTGTCCAAGAAAAAACACATTATAGCTGAGTTAAATGAAGAGTGCTATGTTTAATGAAGAAGCTATGTTTAATGTCAAAATCAAAATCTTGGCTGATTTCAATGTGCTGTTGGATGTTGTCCGCCATTGCTTCTGTGGTTAACGTCACGTTGTAATCCAACTGCAGTTGAGTTGGACGGCAATTGCAGTTCAAGATGAGTGTTCGATGACGTAGACTATCAAACTCACAAATGGGCCAATCAGAGGTTAGCGCTGATTTCCAGCTGACAGCGTCCTGTCCTAAGAAACCAGGCCTTTAGGAGGTAACATAACTGTATGTGAAATCTATTTATTGATATAAAACGATCACCTTTAATCATAATAGAATTTCGAATAAGAAACTATCTTTATCTCTCTTGTGTATAGTTTAAAATTTTTTTTTTTATAAATGTTGAATATTTAAATCTGGATACATCCAATCGCGCTCTCTCTCTCTCTTTTGTAGCTACTTCTCATCAATTCAATCACGAGCTTACAAAATGAATATCTCTAGAGAAATAAATAACCACAACGATAGATAAATAGTTATTAATGTTAAAAAAAAAATAAAAAAAAGTTTTTAAAAAAAATCGCAAATAAAGCTCTTCAGATTGCAGTAACTTTCGAGTCCCGCAGTGGACTGATCGATAAGACACGGTTCCCAGCAGATCACCGAAGTCAAGCATCACTGGCTGCGGTCAGTGTGCGGGTGGGTGACCACTTGGATCAGTCTGCGTAGGGGCCGAGGGTGTGCGGTGTAAGAGTTAAATAAAATTATTATTATTTTGGGTTGGTGCGTATAAAGTAAAAGGTTATTTATGTATTATAATTAATATATTGAAATATTTGGTATATGTACTAATAATTGGATATAGTCATGATTAAAAATAGTTAGATGATTGATATAATAATTAAATTAAGGCTGAAATGTATAAAAGGTAATTAAATTAAATTAAGGGGAATGTGATCGTTAAGGAAAGTGGTAGTACAGTGCTAATGTGGGATAACAATAACCCAATAGGTTCAAAGGGTCACAAAGTGTGAGGTTTGAACAAATTGGATGATTTGGTATCACCAAATTTGGAAAAAGGGCGAAACTAAAATAAATTAAATATTAAAGATAAATAAGGTAAAGTCATGCTATATCCAAAAAATATATATGATTCAAACAGTAAGCTGATGTTTCCAATAAGAAAAACTAATAAATTCACACTTATGCATGCCCATAACAATAAAAAAAGTACTCACCACATACAGAAGGAAAAAGGTGATAACTAATAGTTATAAAGGTAAAGCTAAAAAAACAATCACAAAACTTTCTGTTCAACTAAACATTTATTTTTGTAAAACTACCTTTCGTAACAAACAAACAATATGATTGCAACACATTTTGTGGCACAGAAAAATATATCTTTTAAAAGGAAATGGGTGACAAGAGAATTTAAAGAAACCAAAGGCGTCATGCAAAAGTTATAAAAGAACGAGTAATTTAACCGTTAAAATAAATATGAGAAGAAAGCTTAAATTTGAGAGGGCTTTTAATGTTAAAGAAAATTAAAGGTATAAATTGTTGATTTTAAATTTTACAGAAATTTATTACAGTTACGGATTTAATTTAAAATAAAGGTTAAGAAAAAATGTAAAAAGAAATCCCTCGATACGAACCGAAGTCCGCATCGCGGAGAATTTAAAAAAGGGTAACCTGTCCGAATGTTCGAGAAAAAGAGAATGTAATTTTAAAAAGACTTAAAAATTCCTTAACTGGGGTAGACCAGAAAAACTGCGACCAATTAAAATTAAAGAGGCGGAGAGTTTGAAATTTAAAGGAAAGAGATTGGTTAGTTAGCCCCCCTAAAATTAAAAGAAGAAGAAGAAAGGCGTGAATAGAGGGGTTGGTGGACTTTCCCCACAGTAAGTGCGATGGCCGCAATGACCATGAGAAAGGTCAACAAAAAAGTTAGAAAAGATTGCTAAATTGGAAAAAAAAAGGAATAGCGTTTAAAGAAAAAATTAAAGGCTTAAGTAAAATTCGAAATTAAATTGTCACATTACATTAAGTGTAAATGTGACATGCGGTATTGGTCCTCGTTAAACTGTGCTACCGTAAAGTGCTCGACTTCGCGCGCAGGTCGTCGGGCTACCGAAGCGGGGGTGCCATCCCCTCCACAGAGGATCAAAATTGTGATGGCATGTCTTCGGATCATCCTCCGGGATGTTTCCCAGACCGTCGCCAATAGCCCATTGTGCAGCTCTAGTGCGACGTAAATTAACAACAACAACAATAATTTTCGAACTGATTAGAATTTCGAAAAAAAAGAAGAAAAAACCCTCGCTTAAAATTTATTAACAGAAATGGCCCTTTCAGCTCGCCAAATTTCAATCTCGTAGTTGCATTTCAGTGGACTGTAGATTTGCCCAAATGATATTTTTTACCTACATTTTGGAAATAATAATGAAATCTTTTTTATTTCATCGAACTATGTACATTTTTCTACTCCCCTCATAATTTTAAGTTGTTAAGTGTTATAGTTTTTGCACAACATAACATAGTGTTATGAAAAGTTGAACAAACAAAACAGCAGCAGTGATATTCAACACATAAATTTCACTTGAAGAACAACAACTAAAATAAAAATATTTCTTTCTCAGTTAAAGTTAGCAGTTAAGTTTGTTTGATTTTCTATTCGATGTTTTTTAATCATGACATACATATACTTTCCTTGATCAACATAGGGGAGGGGAGGAATGCACCCCGTTTCGCCACGACGCTTCCCCATAAATTTCTATGTTGCACAGTAACCATGAACGACCAGACCATGACCTCCAGAAGACGTGTTATCTCTGCGCAGCAATGCCGTATCATAGAACAGGACGAGGCGGAAAAGTCTACCCGGCCACCAGCCGAAACAGATTACTGAACAACGTTGACCAAGCTTCAACAGAGGAATTTCTTGAGAAAAGTGGGATTCCCCTAAAATAATTTCTCCCGAGTACGAGTATGGAAAAGGATGAAGTGATAGATTACTACCTTCAGTTTACCCTGGAAGAACTAGAAAGTTGGTATCATCCATACTGTAGACTCCGAAGGGGACTAGACTGGCGCACAAATCCTATATATGTCTACCTCGACGCAGGAGCCATAGGTATGATCAACGCCATGGAAAAGAAGCAGAAGGAAGAGAAAGATCGAAAGAATGAAACTGCAATTGCCAATCCAGTGCCCAACGCCCAAAAGACTGATGAAAAGGACGCAACCAAAGACCCAGTGCCTACTCCAACGATTGAAATGGACACTACGGAAATTCCAGATCCCCCTGAGAAAAGAAACAAAAAGAAGAGGAAAAAGGCGAAAACGAGTGTCAACCAGGCGACGCTCCCTGACATTACTGCAGTTAGCGAGCCCACTCAAGTCCCAGCTCCCGCTATCCCAGCTGATACAATACCGACTGAGAGTATGGAAACTGCCGATTCGGAGGACCCCAGCCCAACCCTGGACATAGCTCCAAAACCAAAACTGAAAACCCTCATCAGAGGACTGCTAGCAGATACGGATATTTCAGCCCTTGAAAAATATCTCATCGAATTTGGAATTCATCCAGAAAAGATTATTCAGCTTAGTAAAAGGAGTGGGCAGGAGCTTAGGCCCCTCCCACTCTTCCTCATCATACAGATGGACACGCCCACCAGTAGAAAAATCTACAACATTAGCTCCATTTTGGAGAGAGATGTTATAGTAGAAAGATTCAGAGGAGGACGATTCCAGACACAATGCTTCAGGTGTCAGAAATATGGCCACACCCAGCGCAACTGCCAAGTCACCGAACCAGCCTGCATGGAATGCGCAGAAGCTCATCTTACGTACCTTTGTACGAAACCCATATCCACTCCCGCCAAAGGCATTAACTGCGATGGTGAGCACCCGGCCTGTTTTTCGGACTGCGGTGCAAGACCCAGAAAACCCACACATAGAAGAAGAGCCCAACCCAAGACAACAAAAGATGCTGCCAGCAGATTCCTGCTCCTCTTCAAAGAGATGAAAGAACTACTACAAAACGAAGAGCTTGTTAAGCTGCTCCGTTCCCTACTTCCAGAGCCGCAGAATTGATTGTGTTCTGCATCCTCCCAGGACTCCACCCCCAGGACTTACAGTGATTCACTGTAAATTTTTTCATCACATATATTTCAACTTGAAATCTATGCCCATTCAACTTAGGACTCTACAATTTAGACGAATCAGTTAGCGGCGCTTCGCGCCGAATACTGAGATTTTCTACATTTCCAACGTTCCAACGTAACCATGAACTAAAATTGCGAATGAATGACAATAAAACGGAGAGGTTTTTAGTAAGAATCGTTGCCGATAGAAGGCGCATACCTTCTTAAAAAGAATACACTTTAAGAACAACCTTTTTCGTTGTTCGTCATCAAAATTTCCTATTCGTCCGTATCGTGTTTAGTTACATGATTTGCAAGAGTTTATATGCTATACTTTTATATTTAAACATACATGTAATGGGTTTTTATTCGGAAGATTCTTCCTATTTGTATTTATTTTTAACGTATTGCATTACAATGTTAACCAATTGATACAGAAATATAAACAAATGGAAACCGGTTTCATCAGAGTAAAAATAATGCGGTTGCTTAGTATTACCTGATTATTATAATTTTACATAGAATCTTATAGTGTGTGTAATAATATGGCCGGGGACTGTCTTACTTCCAGTAAAAATAGTGATTTAACTTAGCTGAAGAAATCTGATACAATTGTTTGTGTTTTTGTGGTATAGAATACACACTAGAGAATTGTTGAGAATTAACAATGATTTTAGAAACTGAGAAATAATCAAAAAGAGAAATGTATATTTTGTTTGCTCGAAAAAAGGTCATAGAGCTAACAAATGCAAGTCGAAACATGTAAGATGTGTAATTTGTAATAATAGACATTTAGCTCATTTTAGTCCCGATTATACTAAAAACAAAATCGTAATGTTTTGAAGGAGGAAAACCACAGAAATAAAATATGTACTATCGGCCTAAAACCAACACGCTTGATATTTTAGTAAATAACGACGGACCACTAGCTGCACTTTTTGTTTTTTTTATTAATGACAACAACATTAAATATAAACAACAGGGGCCGGGATAGCCTGGTCGGTAGGGCGCTGGGCGGAGATCCAAGAGGTCGTGGGTTCGATCCTCGCCGGCCGAAGACTCCCCGTGTAGTAAATGGTGACTGATGCACGTTAAATCTGTCGAGTCTCAAAGTCCTCCATGTTCCCACAACAAATCAATACCTCTGGGGGTACTGATCCAGGAGTTTCC